TATGTATGTATATATTGGGCTTTAGAGGTTTTGATAACATTTTAAAGACCAATTCGACGCACATATTCGCATATGGATGGAATTATGTGTACATATTAAACGTTCTCTGAACCTTCTCTATATTAAACGTTCTCTGCCAAATGCCGCACTTCTAACTAGAAAAAGTTTGAGAGCCATAATTCACGCAATCATCCGTTTTGAACTATACGGTAACACTAAACAGCTGTTTAGCTCATTTTCTACGAACGCCGGTTTGGCTGTTGTTTGTTGGCGCTCGCGGACAAATTTCACATATACTAGTCTTAAATATGGTATGGAGAATATTTTGTTGTCATATAAATTTATTTATTTTATTTATTTAATTGATCACAGTCGGTAACATTACATACAGATGTGGGTGACATCAAAATTGAGCTCTTTTGTGAGGATTGTCCAAAAGCCTGCCAAAATTTTTTGGCGCTATGTGCCAGCGAATATTACAATGGCTGCGCTTTCATTCGCAATATAAAAGGTTTTATAGTACAGACAGGTGATCCTACAAATACCGGTAAAAATGGCAAATCTATTTGGGGTACTAAATTTGAAGATGAGTTCAAAGACACACTAAAGGTAATTTAAATTTGTTTAAATTTTTTTCAAAAACAAAAACCCGTTAACGTCATATTTTCAGCACTCTGATCGCGGTATGGTTTCCATGGCAAATAATGGCCCCAATGCGAATGCCAGCCAATTTTTTATAACCTATGCAGCACAACCCAATTTAGACCTCAAGTATACACTTTTTGGAAGGTTGGCAAAGAAATTGAAAAATATCTATGCTTTTATAATTAACGGATAATTTTAAATAGAGTAATTGATGGTTTCGACGCATTAGACGAGTTAGAAAAACTGCCAGTAAATCCCAAAACTTATCGTCCGCATATTGAGAAAAAAATCAACAGTGTTACAATACATGCAAATCCCATAGCTGGATGAGGCCTAGCTAGGGAGGTTAGTATTAATTTTCTTTATTTATTATTTTTTTAATCTCCACATATAAATTACAAAATGCGTTACTTTGTTGCCAATTTGGAAATATAAGTAGTGCAAATCTTACAGAATATTTAAAATATGAGACGAACATGAACTCTATGCTGGCGCACCAACTCAGTTTAAGAATTCCTTCCGACGAAAAAGTATTAAAGATTTGTTCTAAATCAAAAAAAAAAAAAAAAAAAATATAACAATTTTACTTATTTATCCCAAATATTTTGAACCATGCCTTTTCAGCTACTATATTTTAAATGCGTAGATATTAAGGCATCAAGTGGCGTGTAACGGCGTTAGCCATAACGGGATTTTGTTAATTTTTTCTTGATTCTGCCAACAGGTATAACATTTATTTTATGCTTTAGTAAAGTCGAAAACATATTTATTATGGCGGAATATTTCATTATAAAACCAACTAGAAAAAAGTTTCCATAATTTTATGCAACTAAATATGTATGTGCAAATCTTTTGTAATTGCTTTAATCAAGGTTGCAAATTTTATCAGTAATTTCGCTGCTCGATGCCTTAATATAAGCCCTTCTACGAACCCTTAAACCTAGTCTGTCCATTATATAAAATCTAAGTTTCCAATATTATTATGATATAAAACAACATAAAGGTTCTATATATTTTTATTTTTCACTTTCACTTGAATATATTTTATTTCTATTAGTCTGAATGTCAAAAGTTTACACGTTTAAAACCACATTACATACAAACATCTACTACGAGACTTTTAAAAAATACAATTTTTTCGAGTTTCAATATAAATTAGAACAGAAAACTAACTTAAAATGCTTTTACATAAATATTTTTTAACAATAGTTGACATAAATCTTACTGATACACCATAACAAATATAAAAGCCATTATCAAAAATACTGTTACAAGCACTAAATAAAGTCTCAAGTTATATTTTCGATCTAAAGCGATCAATAACTGACGGAATGAGTCGGTTACAGAGACTTTAGTCGGACGACGTCCTGAAATTTCATATCGCCTTGAAGGTTGTACAGGCCGTGGTGATACGTATTCTCTGCTTATATCAGTGCCTCCAATAGAGCTGGGTTTATTTAAAACCACCCCATCTGTTTTAATACGTTCCAAGTTTCGGGCAAAACTGCTCAGAAATGGAGTTTCATAACCCTCTGCTTCCTCGTTATCATCACTTTGTTCAGTGTACAGATATGTAGGCTTCGAGGAGTATAATCCACTACTTAGCGTGTTTGTACTGTAACGTGAGTGCAGTGTCTTTGGTACATCTCTATCTTTGTTTAGTCCAACTCCAATATTTGGTTGCATTAAGTTAGGATGCAAGCTGAAGCGACCACTGTTGGCACTTATTTGTGGCTTATATATTTCGTGTGATATGCTTTCAGTTACTTCCCGCCGTATTGGAATCTATATAAAATAAATATAATTAATCAATTTTAGTCCATATTAACGCATAATATTATATACCTGTGGTACTTCAGCAATTGGCTGAACTGTTGGTTGATTTAATGACGTAGTAACTACACCCGTTTTCGATAAAGAGACCGAACGTGATGAACGCGAACGCACATTAGCTTCTTCTCGAGCCATCGATGGTTTTGACCTTTGTTCCACTTGCTCAGCAGCCAATAATAAATCTTGATCCTCTTCATCGCTTTCTAGTATTACTACAGGATTATAGGTTTTAGTTGATTTTTGCTCCTTTTGCGAAGGTGCGATTTCTTGATCGCGAGTTGATCGTCGACGTGTTCCAATAGGAGCTGGCGTAAGATTTTCTGACGGTTGATTTTCACTTGGTTTCTGCGAGTCAAATGTTGGTGTTCCGGCGAATGTACGTCTATTCGCTCCTCTACTTGGTGTACGCCGTTCTGGTTCAGCTTTCACTTCTTTAGTCTCGATTGCCGCCTCAGTTGTTTTTACAACGTGAATAGTTTCGCGGCGTGGGGTTTTCTTTGTTTGTGAAGCTGGCGAGCCCGATAGCGAAGCGCGTAATTTTTTTATAAGTATATTTCGACTGGAATCTGTAATCGGAACGTTTGGTAAACCATGTTTAATGCACTGTTTGCGCAAATCTGCATTGCTCAAGGACTCTAAATTATCAATTTCAGACATTTTTACGCGCTTTTAAATCGTCCCGATCACCTTTCGAAATGTTCGCTACAATTTGCGCGTTTAAATATTTCAACAACGCCGTTGCGGACCAATCAAACACCAAATCTGCAAAATGATTGAACACGGTTGCCGTATCTTTGTTTTTGTTTTTTATTTTTAATTTCGTAGAACAGTTTATTGTTTTATGTATGCCGCGGGTGCTATTTAGAAAATAACTTTTTAATTTATTATTTCAAAAATAATACTTAATTTCTGAAATGAAAATAACATTTTAATATTGTACCCAACAACGTATGTAAGTTCATATAATGTTTGTAGAACACTATTGCCTTAAAATTTTTGTCGCATTGGGCAACATTATTATTGCATTCCCATGTCAGTGCATCCCGCCGAATTGTGTTTATTATCAGCTGTTTATTCGTCATAGTAATTCAAGTATATTTATAATTTTTCGTTCAAACAAAATGGATATTTCTAAAGTAACAAATGAGAAAAAACTGCAGCTCTGTCGAACTTATTTCATAGGTACGTGAATATTGCAGCAACTTAATATTTAAAACAGCAAATAATTTTGTTCAACTCTTCAGCTGGCTTGGCTTTTTTACCCTTTCTATGGACGATCAACGTCTTTTGGTTTTTTAATGATGCATTTCGCGCACCTGCTTTCCCAGAGCAAAAAAGAATAAAGAAATGTAAGCCTACACGTTTAAAATGGATGCAATATGTACACACTAATATAAACCATTGTATTTTAGTTGTGATCTCGTCGCTGATAGGTGCACTGATTTGGTCAGTCATACTTATAACCTGGATAATTATATTCCAAACAAAACGTGCCGAATGGGGGGAAATGGCGGATAGAATGAGTTTCATTATACCACTGGGTATTGCTTAAATAACATTTCGTAAAATTCATTTTAGTACTTGAATCATTAAAAATGTAAACAAATTGACTTTCTTATTTTACTCATATTATATTTAAAATTAAATAACCACTAATATAGATCGAAATGAATTAGTTTTGCATTTCTGTTGTTGCTTGTGTTTTTTGTCGTAACTCCTGCAATTTCTCTTCGAAATAAGACTTGTGTACAGTCAATGGTAGGGATTTCTGTCGTAGGAAGTAATTCACGTTGCCCCTAGCTGAGTATGTGTCGTCACCAATTAATTCTCGAAGTGCCATATTTTTCTTCAAAAGCTTGTCGTAATAACTTGCACCTGCTTCTACGTATTGCGGTCCCAAGCTGCACAATTTCTTGTCAATTTCAGTGTCATAACGAACTTGATTGAAGTCTTTCATAAAAGACCAACTACCAACACCAAACAATCCCAATATCGTATACATCACCAGTCGCAGCTGAAACAGATATGGTTTTGTTTACAAGTTCACAATGTTCTTATATTATATTAGAATAACTCACGCTGAAAGGTCCTGCAAGCAAGTTCATTCGTAAATTCAAATAATGACCAATCGTATACATGGTTAGAAATGAAAAGCTTGGAAATAACGAATTCAATAAAACTCGATGTGTTTGCAGTTGTAGCACAGATTTACACAATCCAAATAGTTGTTCATCGTCAGTCAAAACTATCGCATCTTGCAAAAGTTTTCCGGCGTCTGTGTTCCAATCTATAGTTTGATCGCGAAAGCGTATATCTTGCCGATTTATATCCTTTGTGTCGGAATATGCATAATTGACTGGAATACCTAGCGCACCGCCAAAACGATACTTTGTTGAACCTGCGAATTATTTAACATTTTTTTTTATTTTGTATATGCATGCATATTTTGTAAGTTTTACCGGCTTGGAACAGATCAAAACCAAAAACGGTGAATGGTTTGATAATTTTGCGTTCATATGCTTCCACCTTAAGTACGTCCAATGCCTTTTCCAAACGTTCCTTCACCTTTTCGGTCACCGGACGTGGTATACCATTCCTTTATTAGTGATATAAAAAAAATCAGAATACATGCAAAAAGTAAATTTATTGTAGCTTACTGATAGCATTGCACGAAATCCTTGTAGTACTTCAAACATATTGTGTGCGGCATAAAATTGACTACGAACAGTCCCAAGGTGGTGGCACCCGTGGCATATAGTACCACATTTCGTCCAATTGGTGTTTGAAAGAAACCCATTATGCCACGCTTTACGACAGGTGATTTCCTCATTTTGATTTATGTTTAAATTAAATTAATTGTTTAAAATAATCGAAATCAAATCTTTGTTATTATGGTGGAATTTGACAGCTCATTGTGAGGTTACAGAAATCTGTCAATTGCATAACATCTGTTAAGAGCAGCTGTGTTTATTAGTTATTAGGACACTTGCAGCTTAAATAAATATACATAATTTATTTCAAAGGTTTGCATAATTTAAAAAAAAGTTATATTTATTTATTTTTTAATTAAAAGAAACAGTGACGAAAATCTATTTTAATTTGGTACAAATTTTACATCGTCATTTTTTCTTCTGATTTCTAAATCTAAAGACATCGTTTATATGCTGCTTAATATGGCAAAATTTTCATCGGAGGTGGACGGCGTTAAATGCCTTCAGCGCTTTTTACGGTTTCGGCCCGTTGCGCTTGTTCCACATACCATAACTAAGTTGCAAAGGGACAGAAGAAGTGTTGGCAACAATTCCAAGGCGTGAACCAGGCAAAGTTGCTAATGGGTGATTACAACCAGATTGAGTTTAAAAATGTAATGAACCTCCCGAGAAACACCTATTTGGTTAGGGTCAAACCTCTTGTACAAACTCTGGGTTCTGCGACATGAAGCAGGGAACTCTTGAACACTTGGTGCTAGATTGCACAGAAGTCTGCAGACGCAGGACTAAGGCTCTTGGATCCATGTATCGGAATAGGGATCACATATCTCAATACCACCTTGCAGTATACTGGTATTTACCAGTTTGCTGTGCCTATATGAGACTGAAGGAAGGCACACTAGAGATTAGGATGCTTTGGAAATCTCAATTAATATATAACTTTCTAAAGATTACTTTGTCTCAGCAAAGTGGTCAGTCAAGGTTAGCTAAAATAATTTCAGGGTCCATTCTGGTTACGTGGGCTCAAAGTAACCGGAATGGACCCGAAAATTATTTTAGCTAACCTTGACTGACCACTTTGTGATATTAAATAAAGCTACGAATTTTTGAATCGGTAGAACTGCGAGTTCGATCTTAGGTACAGATGAGTTTTAATTGAGACAGTGGCGGCTAGAAAGATTTGCTTATAAAGTCAGAGGTCATTCTTGTTGTTGCAGGGGCGACACAAAACATTCCCCAGTTTACTTTCAGGTACATATGTTTCTAAGTGGTGGGATCCTTGTCGTCTATGTAGATAAGACTATCGAAAAAACTTACCGATCCAAACGAAGTTAGATCTCCGAAAGTAGAGACCCTGTCCAGATAAAATCCGAGTCAATTCCGGTAACGCAGAACTGACTGTTTTGTGAATTGCCCCGCCTCCTTGCAGCATCAAGAGGTTTTTCCTCAACTACGTCGACGATATAAAACAATACGCCGACCAGACTTTCGGGCGCACAAACTTCAAACAAACAATGACCGTCATTTCCAGTGGAGCCATTAACACCTTCACCGACTCCTTCTCAGTGAATGGCGTACTTGGAGTGTAAACAAGGACCAGATGTCGAGCTTGAGTTGCCACTAGAATCGAGAGTAAACCTTGCGCAGCTTCGTTCTGGATGCCGTAGCAGGTTGAAGCCCTACTTTTCCAGAATCGACCCTGACATATCAATGACATAGTATGTATGTCCAGCGTGCATTGAGTCCTTGTATAACACTAACCACCTCTTTGCATGCCCTGCTAACCCGACATAACTGACACTCCTCTCCCTATGATCCGACCCTGTTGAAATAGCACGTTTCCTGGACCTACCGTTGGATGACCTCGATGACAATTGATCTGATCCTCGCCATCCTAAAGGAGGTTAGATAACATTCGACGCTAGAGCAAATCTAACTGTCGACGGAGCAGTACATCGTACCATAAGTCCTGGCGGTCCAGTGTGCCGCTGGTATTTTAAGATATTAAGGAGAAAGCAAAAATTTCATAATACAATCATATGCATCTTTTAATTTTTAAAACTCTTTAATTATTACTTTAAATAAACCTTAAAAAATCAATTCTGTCAAACTTGGAAAAAAGAGTAAATATGTCTGTCCTCTCGTCATCAATCAAAAGAGCCAAATAAAGGCGTAAAATGCACTAAATATGACACAGATCAGCCACTATAAATGACAGTCAGAAGCAGCAAGAAATAATGGAAATGTTAGTACATAAGTCAAGACGAGTGTTGCAATTTGTTCCGATCAATTCCTACCAACCGAACGCCCTTTGTACACCGCATAATGGCAATAATGGCAAGAAGAAAACGAAGAAAAAAAAAAAAAACAACGGAAAACAATTTTGTCATCTCTCGGCAAATATTTATGTAATGAATCTTGCAAACCGGCGATCAGATCGCTGCTCATTGATCCTCTTCAATCTAAAACTGACAACTTGCAACCAAATTAAAGAGAATAAAGAGGTAAGAGGAACGTAGATCAACACAATGTAGGCGCAAGAGATACGTGTAAGCTGCGACAAAGCTCACAAGCATACAAGCGTGCACACATATGTACATACGTTCGAAAAGCAGCACATATGGGCGAATTAATCGCGAGCAGAGCTGTCGCTGTCGCAGATTACGACGCGCCGCCGTGCCACAAAGTCGTACAAATAACACCATTGTTATGTCACGGCAGTGTCGGCTGGTCGATTGTTAGACAAATGGGACGGACAGGCAAGCAGACAGACAAATGTGCAACACCTCCGCCCGCACACGCTTGCATCGTTTGCGACAAATCTGCACTACGCGAATGGGGGCACTTCATTGTATACATACATATATGGTACATATGTACAGCATACGAGAGCGGTCTGTTGTGTGTTTAGCCTAAATAAAAAATAAAGCAAATATGTTTGTAAACAGGTCGATTTATTTCTGAACAAAGTCGACTTTTCGTTCCAAGAACTTGTCCTTTAATTAACTTGCTGGATCCCTCTGAAAAAACGTTTTCTGGAGTTTTAACTTGGTTGTCGTCGAAGTCATCAAACGGCAGGCCGAGGAAACGCATAAAATTGGATAGAATTCCGGATCCGCTCCGGTTACGTAGATCCAACTGAAACGTGCTGTTTAGACGGGGTCGGACCATAAGCAGTGTATGTTATTTAAGTGCGGTTCGCAAGGCACGTTAGTCATGCGGAGACTCATTGCTCGCTGGAGGTATGTATATCTCTCTTGATACTGCTAGAAGGCGGCTCCGTTTCAAGCAGATAACTGCGGGAATGGTTTCTTATTCAACTCTTTTTTCGAACGAATCGTTTTGTCAAGTATGGAAACAAAAGGCAGTCGACAAAGTTGTTGTATAATTCGACCATATTTCTGCGATTCCCAAAAGTACAACCCTTGGCCGGATTAAAAATGGGTCAATTCCGGGAACGTAGAACCGGCTGTTGTGGTAATTGCTACTAGCCATTTTTTCACGACGCTGGTCTTTGAGCCATTACCATAGTAAGAGAGACACACAATAATTTAGCTTAGTAGAGCCGATACGAATTCGCTAGATTGAGTGCATGGTTTCGATTATTTCTTGCTCTCTGCTGTATACCTGTGCACCCATATTTCGCCAACGGTCACGAAACGACGCAGAACCTTTGGAATGCGGGGTGATCGGCAGTTTTCACATATGATGTCACGTTGTCCTCGGTTTCGGGGCTACTGAACCATTGTGAAATAACATTGGAACTCGTTAAACCAATTTTAACGGTTGTGAACGAAGGAGTGGAATCATCGAACGATTTCGAACTTTTTTAATTAATTTAAGCTTCGCGGACATGCTAAATCTCATTAGCGGCCAAAACGAAACTATCAATCCGATTCGAGAGAAATT